AGCTGTTCATGTCGTGTTTCATGTTGCGGTAGCTTAGGACTTGGACTTGTTGCCAGTCGAACGCTTTGCCCCAAGCCACCAGAATTATTCTTGAGGTCTAGCACTAGCGCAACAGAAAGACCACTCAGGCATAGTCTCCATAGACCTGGTCATCCAGCTTAATTACTGTAACTGTTTGTGAGCTGTCTATGTCGATGCTACTGCCCATTTTCTTTGATCAGCCCATTTGCAGCTACTCATCTCCCGCTTATGTTGCGATAGCTTAGGACGTGGTCTCAGTCGAAGGCTTTGCCCGATCCACCGGATCGCGATTATCTTGAGGTCCAGCTCAGAAGCCGCTAGCGGCCGCTAGCGCTCTAACTTCCCTCTTAGTCCAGCTGCCAGCTGATGTTTTCACCTGCTCAATATTGCGTGCCTGGTGTGTTCCTATTCTAGGGAGCTTAGGACTGTGGATTCCGAGTGGACGGCTTTGCCGCACTGAGTCTAGTGCTAGCCCATGGATCCACTGGCTGATCAGATTACTTCTTGGATCGTCTTGCTATTGGATCTATTGGACGCAGTTAGTTCACCTTCTGCCCTTCATGCTGAGAAAGCTTAGGATTGAGCATTGTTGCCAGCTCGATGCTTTTTTTGCAAAGACAGTTTTTGGTGCTAGCGTGCTGGGAGACTGAGGCTTTGTTTCCAGAAGCTCTCGATACTCTGGCTGTTGAGCCTACTTCCTCTTGCATGGAGCTGACCTTCTGCCCAGTTCTTGGTTGTTTCCCTTGGCAGTGACGTTCGCGCAAACTTAGGACTTGGACACGTTGCCAGTCGGAGGCTTTGCCCCAAACCACAGAAGGTCTAGCGCTAGCGCAACAGAAAGACCACTTAGGCTTGGTCTCCAAAGACTACTGCATGCACAGACTTGGCTGGGAGTGATCCATCTCACCTGTTCGCTTTGTCCAGCACAGTTGTGCTATTAATGTTATGCTTCGCAACATGGCTTGGGACTTGGGCCAATTGTTGAAGATCAATTAATTTCTAGAGTCTAGCGCAACCGAGTCGGCCTAGGCATAGCTTCCGAATCTAGCGCTGCTCGGTTTGGGATGTCGGCCTCATAAAGGGCTTTGTTTCAATGGTGATTGCTACCGCATTACTGGTTGGAAGGCCAAGTGATGGAGATAAAGTCTCTCATGCTGTGGCCAGCACTTGAACTGTTGGAACGCGGGATTGTTTGCAAATGGCCTAGCAACACATAGGCAAACTACAATCGTTTGGGAATCATATCGTCGAGACCACAGTGAGGAGTCAAGACCTCAGAGGTAGCAGGGTTTTGGGCTGAGCTTCGGAGTGTAGCCAGATGCAGCCACCTCAGAATCCTCAGAGCGACTAGCTGGTGCTAGTTCAGATTTCAGACCTCTTACATCTCTAGCACGACTCCAGGTGAGCAACTTTGTGAGTTCTGATAGTTCTGTCCTTTCCAGTCCTCTTTTCGTGAAGAGACTTTGAGCACAAAGGCAGCTTGTCTGGTTGGCCTTAAACTCGTGAATGATCTTAGTTGCTCAAGATCGCTGATAATTTCTCCAGGATTTGAGTTGTGTTTGATCCACGGCGTTGTTGGGAGCAAGTGACCCCTTCTTAGTTTTGCCCCTCACCTCACCACTGACCACCCAGCGAGAGGTTCGTCGGGCACTCGGACCATTGGAAATTCCAGACTGCCAGGTGCAGCTTTTTGTTGTGCTCTGCATGCGATCCAAGCGCCGAAGGCCTTCTGTGACGTGAAAAGAACGCCTTGCTAGATGGCTAAGGATCCCACAAACAAAGGTTGGAGCCTGAAAGTACATCCGCTTCAGTGGATTTACGAAGTTCAACTCGATTCTTGTTAATTGATATATTTCAATTTGTAGATCAAACAGATTGTCAGCATTTGACAACTTCTTGAACCCATTACTGTCAAAGTCGGCCTATAGAACACAAGTGCCCCAAGCATGGGGGTTTGCATGTTTGTTCCGTGGTCATTGAGAACACAAGGTCCAGCAGTGGACGGCAGCCTTTTGCGCGGTCGCCGGAAGATTGGACAGTGTTAGTTGCACAGTGCTGCACTTCCTCATTTGGAAAGGGTAAGAAGAGAGCAGTGAACCAGTGAACCCCCGCAAAGAACCCTGACATGGTAGGCCATGTGTGAGACCGTAGGCCATGTGTTCATAGCAGAGCCTATGGCCTGGTCGGGTGCCGAGCGAGGCAGAGCCGGGTATCGCCAGATGGAGAATCGGACTCTGAAGATTCTTGGCATCAAGAAGTTTCCAATGAAGGAATGAAGCTAGCCGTTCAACAGTTTCTTTTGTATTCTTTTGTGTCCTTACTGCCATGTTCTGCGAATGTGGGGAAATGTGCAGGTGTGAAGCTGATTGTTCGTCCAGATGTGTGCGAAATGATGCAAAAACAGAGCTGGAAAGAATATGGTTGATGGATGTTGATGCTTAATTTACCTTGAATGTTCACCTATAAATGATTCTTTGTGGTTTGTGAAGCTGCAAGGCATTCTGATGCCTGCGACCATGCATCTCTGAGGACTCTGAGGACCTGCAGGCCGTCGTGCCAAAGCCGTCTTTGTTCGGCTCTCGCCGGGGCACGCAGGCGGACGAAAGAACGGTTTGCTGGGTGCGGACAGCAGATGTTGCCGAGCTTTTCAGCTCGATCTGGATCGATTCAGTTGTCGAGTCATCACCTGTGAAATGTGTCTACAAATTTGGTCAACCCATGTGTTGGAAACGACAATTTTGTAGAGAAACAGTGGTTTTCTACAGAATCACTGTTCTGGGTGTTCCTGATTTGTAGAGTGATCAGGGTAGATTTTGAATGATTTTGAGCATGTTAGCAACAACATGATTTGCAAGGCAGGGTCCATTTTGCATACTGTATTTTTCCGTTGACTCGAGCATGTGCACTCACCCACCATAATTTTGTAGAGGGTTAAACCCATTTTGTAGAGATGGTCCGTTGTTTAAGCATCTTCCTGCTGACACAAGGGTGTGCATCCACCCAACATAATTTTGTAGAGGGTTAGAACCCATTTTGTAGAGATCAGGGATGGGTGTTTGAGCATCTTCCTGGTGACACAGGGATGTGCACCCGCCCACCATAATTTCGCAGAGAGACAGACACCATTTTGTAGAGAAAGCAATACACCAATCACTAAGAAATTATTTGGAGGTGGGAGTCACTTAGTGAAAAATGTTTTCCAAATAATTAACTAAAAGAATTATTTGGCAAGCCATGCAGGTGGTGGTACCGTCTAGGTGGTGCAAAATAATTTTCATATGATAGATATTACTTCTAAACAATTTTGAGTCTATGACCACCCACCTGTACAAAATTATTTAGACAGAATCTTGAGTATATGAGGACCCACCTCAAATTATTTCCAAATAATTTTGAGTTTCCACTACAAAACAATGGCTGCGCGATGCAAGTCGTCCCCGTCATTAGTTCGCAGTGGAAACTTTTTTTTTTCCCGAATGCGTAGCGAAGGGTTCCCGTTTATAGTTGGGGGTCTGGGGGTTGGAGCTGTGTTCGCGTGGCTTGCGTCCTCTCGTCGTCTGTCGTCGTCTCTCGTCGTCTCTCGTCGTCTCTCGTCGTCGTCGCGTCTCAAATTTGCTGCCATTGGGGGAAGCTTTTGCAAGTGACTTTTCATGGATGTGTCACGTGTCAGTTTGCGCCGCTATTCCATTGTGATTTGCATGACACCGACATGTCGCGCAAGAAACGTGACGCATTTCGCTGCACAGGCGCAGCGTTTTGTGAGATCCGCAGATTGCTGCGCAGTTCCATTGGGATTAGCGTTTGGAGAGTCGTGTTTTTGGGGTGTTGGATGTGGCCGTGCCATTGGGATTTGCGTTTCAGGGTGTGGCATCGAAGCTCGGTTTTCGTGACAAGTCTCAGCTGAAGTGGCGATTTTGGTGGATTGGAGTGTGCTCTGAACGGGTCGGAATCACTCCAAACGTGTGGTGTGGTGCAAATTTTGTTGAAGCTCACATGCGATGATATTGTCACTTTTCGTGGCAGGCGCAGGACTTCGTGCGGGCTTTGAAGCGTGGAAGTGCGATTCTCGTGGCAGGCGCAGGGAATCGTGAGGTTGCAAGGTGTGAGGGAGGTGACATTTCGTGGCAGGCGCAGTACTTTGTGCGCGTTAGACGTGCGGATGGGGAAAGGTTCGTGGCAAGCGCAGGGAATCAGAGTGTCCCACAAGAGTTTCCTACAAGAGTGACCCACAAGAGTGTCCCACAAGAGTGTCCCACAAGAGTGTCCCATAAGAGTGTCCCACAAGAGTGCCCCACAAGAGTGTCCCACAAGAGTTGCCCACAAGAGTGTCACACAAGAGTGCCCCACAAGAGTGTCCCACAAGAGTGTCCTACAAGAGTGTCCTACAAGAGTGCCCCGCAAGAGTGTCCTATAAGAGTGTCCCACAAGAGTGTCCCACAAGAGTGTCCTACAAGAGTGTCCCACAAGAGTGTCCCACAAGAGTGTCCTATAAGAGTGTCCTACAAGAGTGTCCTACAAGAGTTTTTCAGAAGAGTGTCCCACAACAGTGTCACACAAGAGTGCCCCACAAGAGTGACCCACAAGAGTGTCCTACAAGAGTGTCCCAGAAGAGTGTCCCACAAGAGTGTCCCACAAGAGTGTCCTACAAGAGTGTCCTACAAGAGTGCCCCGCAAGAGTGTCCTATAAGAGTGTCCCACAAGAGTGTCCCACAAGAGTGTCCTACAAGAGTGTCCCACAAGAGTGACCCACAAGAGTGACCCACAAGAGTGTCCTACAAGAGTGTCCTATAAGAGTGTCCCACAAGAGTGTCCCACAAGAGTGTCCCACAAGAGTGTCCCACAAGAGTGTCCTACAAGAGTGTCCCACAAGAGTGTCCCACAGAGTGTCCCACAAGAGTCTCCTACAAGAGTGTCCCACAAGAGTGACCCACAAGAGTGACCCACAAGAGTGTCCTACAAGAGTGTCCTACAAGAGTGTCCCACAAGAGTGTCCCACAAGAGTGTCCTTTTAGAGTTTCCCACAAGAGTGTCCCACAAGAGTGTCCCACAAGAATTTCCTACAAGAGTGCCCTACAAGAGTGACCCACAAGAGTGTCCTACAAGAGTGTCGTATAAGAGTGTCCCACAAGAGTGTCCTGCAAGTGACCCACAAGAGTGTTCTACAAGAGTGTCTCACAAGAGTGTCCCACAAGAGTGTCCTACAAGAGTGTCCCACAAGAGTTTCCTACAAGAGTGACCCACAAGAGTGTCCTACAAGAGTCTCCTACAAGAGTGTCCCAGAAGAGTGTCCCACAAGAGTGTCCTACAAGAGTGTCCCACAAGAGTGTCCTACAAGAGTGTCCCACAACAGTGTCCCACTAGAGTGTCTCACAAGAGTGTTCGTTAAGAGTGTCCTACAGGAGTATCCCACAAGTGTCTTACAAGAGTGTCCCACAAGAGTTTCCCACAAGAGTTTCTGAATATGGCCACAGGGTTTAACTTTGTTGGTTTTGTCAAAACCAGGAGTTAAATGTCAAAACAGTTTGGCGCCCAAGCCTTGACTCCAAACCAGTTTGCTGATGGAGTTTCAGAGTCCAAAGCGGATTGACACCAAAGTTGTGACTTCCAAGATGGTTTGACTTCCAAAAACAGTTTGGCGCTGGAGTTGACACATGTCTAAACCCGTATTCTTGATAAACCAATACTTTACTTCGAGTGATCCCCACCATGACATTTCAATCATTTGTTTTGATGTCATTTGTTATGTTTGTGGTTGTGTGTTGGTTGTTACGTTTGTGGTTGTGTGTTTGTGGTTGTGTGTTTGTGGTTGCGTGTTTGTGGTTGTGTGTTTGTGGTTGTGTGTTTGTGTGTTTGTGGTTGTGTGTTTGTGGTTGCGTGTTTGTG